TGCGTCACTTTCTGGTGAGACACCCTTATGATTGTGACGGTGGTCTCAGCCGCCCCTCCCCAAGACACCTTTTTTTAATCAGCGAAATATGACAACCTTAAATAAATCCTCTCCCAGCATCTCGGACCTCTCCATCACAAAGAATGTGAGGCTCCAAGTTCTACTGGCATTACTGACGATGCTTTTCAGATGCTCGGCGAAGGCTACTTCATTCAGCTTAGAGAGACACTAAAGTTGCTGGGGGCGGAGGGCAAAGGAAGAGGGGTGGTGAGGAAAATGAATTTTAATCCCAATGAGACCAAGCAATTGGAAGAGTTAGTCAAAAAGCACAAAGAAAAAAGCAACTACTATGCAATGGACGGGCAGAGAACATACAAAGCTTTCTGGATCCTACACTTCTATGGGATACATCTTAAGGTCAAGGTCTCTGCTGGCACCCTTGAAAGTGTGAGGCCTTTCCAAGGTTTCTCCATTCATTCCCAGGTGGGGATTAAAGCAGTGAGAGCCTTAGACTGAATACTATTTTATTTCCATAAGAATGGGCAAAAAAAGAAATTCACGACGTACATCAAGTGAAAAATGCTTAGCATGGGTTGCGTGCAGCAGCTGGACGGCCTTCCGTTCTTGGAAGGATCTGCCTCTACGGTTTCTGTGTAGCTGCCCGGGTGCTTCCAGCACATGAATGTTAAGTTCCCACCCTTCTCTGCAGTTCTCACACAAGGGACCTGAGCTTCCTATCCACGTTTAATAAATAAAGCTAATTACAGCCACAGCATTCACTGCATAGGATATAAAACAAGGCAGGCACAGTCACGAATGCGAGGAATAACTTTCAGCTGGCAGACAAAGCGAGCCACTAACATGAGCTAAAGCCAAATCCCATCATTCCTTCAGTTCCGTTCAACTTTTCGAAGAGGCTCCTAATCTCGAGGCAACTGGAACCTCAGATAGTCTTAGGTCACAGCCAAGAGCACCTTGGAAAGCAAATGACCCTTTATGGTGATGACACTCCACACATTCATACTGTACTTATGGAAGCTTATTGGAGTGAAAGCTTATTGGATGGAAACGCTGAATACATATATGAATGATGGGATTTGGCTCTAGCTCATCTTAGTGGCTCCCTTTGTCCGCCAGCTGAAAGTTAGTGCTGCATTTGTGCCTGTGCCTGCCTATGCAGTGAACACTGCGGCTGTAATTAGCTTTATTTATTGTACGTGGATAGGAAGCTCAGGTCCCTTGTGTGAGAACTGCAGAGAACGGTGGGAACTTAACATTCGTGAGCTGGGTGCACTCGGGCAGCTACACAGAAACCGTAGAGGCAGATTTTTTTTATCCTAATGAAAAAATAAGCAAAAACATCTGTAATGAAATCATGTATAAAGCTGCATTTATTAACAAATTCGTTTCCTAATGAAACACCATCTGCAAGCAACCCTCAGTTTCCACTTGATATAAATAGGTCTTTTACTGTTTTCAGATGCAGTTCACAGAGAAGTCTTCTAAGCGCAACTGCAGAACACATCAGTCTTTTGTTTGTTTGTTTGTTTGTTTCCTGGAAAGATAGTGAGTTAAGCTTTTAAACAAATCATTTGTTTAAAAAGCGTGCTTCCATTGAAAAGCCGACCTTTGGCAAGAAAGCTGGATTTTATTAGTATCCTTTTTAGTTAGTATTTATTAGTATCCTTATTATCGGTACAGAAATTCTAAGAAGCAAGGAAAGTTTCAAGGATGGGAAATAATTAAAATGTCTCCACTACGTACACAAGTGTAGACACAGAAACAAATAAGGGCACACACACACACATGCACATTTCATTCCAATAATAAATAGTTTATGATCTCTCAACTCACTAATATCTGCTTATTCGTGTATCTTAGAACGTGTCTTTTTCCTGGTCATTCAACCCCCCACTCGGCCCAAATACACTTCATGAACACACATCAGCCTCCTGTCACTTGAGCCAGGGAAAGAGCTGGGAAAGCTCAAAGAAATCCTATGACTGCTCTGTGGACGAGCCTTTTCAGTAATAACTCAAAATAATGCTACCACTCATTGTAGACGGTTACTTTGACCAGGGACCCAGAACCCCAGGCCTGGAACTCTTGGCGCCAGGGACTGGGGCTGAATTCTAATGCTAAGTGCTTTTGGAAAGTACATCAAGATTTAATAGGGTGAATGTCCAGACTCGGTCAGAGTTTCAGCCACATCAATTCCATTAGGTTCAAAGTTCCATAAGGCCCCACCCTGTCTGTACTTACGCTCACGTTTTAATCTTCTAAGTTCTCTCTTAGGCTGGCTAACTTCTCATTCCCTTTCCGCTTATTTTTGGTTTTCACATTGCCCTTGAAACCTGTATATTACTCTCCTGACCTTAGGGCCCTAAGCTTCTCTCTACCCCTCCTTCAAATCCTTCCTTGACACCTATATTTTAAAATAAGTACTTTCTTCATTGATCTCTTATCATGACTTCATTGCATCCGACCCATTTTTCAGACAAGGCTCTACCGAAGTCTGTTTGTACCGTCACTAGAGGCTGCGTACACATAGGCTGCTCCGTGGGGCACCATCACCAGAGCTGATGACAGCTCAGACTCTCTTTGGAAATGTACCTCTCATTGCTGTGCCCGAGCACTGAGTGAAAGCATGGAGTCGGTTCTGAATCTGGGCCAGCCATGTTGAGAATGTATGAGAGAGAGGATTACAGTGGAGTGGATCTCAGTGGGTCTGTGAGCTGTCACTCTGCCAATGAGGTGTTGATACAGGATAACAGACTTCTTGATGGGCCAATGCTATTTCCAGACCAGTCCTGAGTAACAGCACTGCCGTGTAAAGAAAGAAGAGCAGAAGAGACCAGGGCGAGAGACGGGGCAAGAATGATGTCCCACCTCCCACTAGGCTCCCCCTCTTTCAAAGTAGGTTGCTTTCTGGCTTTTAAGTATCACACTCCTGTATTAAGTCATCAGGTGGAAATTAGGATTTAGGATTTCCAAATGACCATGCAGGACAAGAATAGAGTAAGACACAGGCAGACAGAGTACAATTAAGGAAATAGAACTGAGACTGGATCTTCTAGCAATTGTTTACCTTTGTTCGTGTTATTTGATTAACATTATGGCTTAGGAAATGTAATCAAGTAACGATTTTTGAAGTTCATTCATTCAACGAACATTTATTGAGTATCTACTATGTGCCAGGCGATTGCTAGGCACTTGGGATACAGAGAAGAACGAGACATTCCTTGCTCTCAGGGAGCTCACAGTCTAATAGAGGAGACAGACACATAAACGAGTAACTACCATACAATGACGTCAGTGCCAGCCAAGGTGTATATAAGGCGCTCGGCAAGCCCAGAGAAAGGACTTTGTCATTAAGCCTCGTGGAATCAGGGAAGCTTTCATGGAGAAAAGTGACAACCAAGTAGACTTGAAGGAGAAACAGGACTTCACCAGGAAGACAAAGGAGGGTAGGGAGAGACATTCTAGGCTGAGGAGACAGCAGGCACAAAAGCAAGGAAGCGTGACAAAGCAGGACATGACGGGGAACCACAGGTGGCTCCGCGTGGCTGAGATCTCATCTGCACGTGAAGAAGTCGTGAAGTATGAGGTCGGGAAGGGAGTATGAAATCAGAGAGTGAAGAGCTTTGTATGTGGGACTAAGAAATTTGGACTGTTTCCTGGAAGCAATGAGAAGGCATTGAAGAATCCAAAGCAGAGAGTGACATGGTCAGATCTGCCCACTGGATCGGCCTGGATGGAAGATGGTTTGAAAGAGAGGTGAGCCTAGAGGGAGGGACACCAGACAGGAGGCGGCCCAGGCAAGAGATGCTCACGGGCGCTTTGAAGGCGGTGAGGGTGAAGAGGTGACAGACTGGAGAGATACTTGGGAGGAAGCTTGACGAGACCTGATGATTGATGATGATACCAACAGCAAAACCGCCTGAGAAATGAAATAATACTCAAAACGTGCATTGAGCAAATCCAAACCAAGGGCCCCCGTCCTCCCTTCCTTGGTGTTCCCATCGTCCTCTGAAATCAGCACATCTGCTGAGTGTGAATAAAAGAAGACCTGTAGGGTACATGTGGTCAGACTTCTCTAATTCAGACACCACTAACTCGGACTCTGCAATAGTTCAGACAGACTGTCTGTGAGTCCTATCGAGTAAGAATTTCAACCTACTTTCTTCCTCCGTGTCTTTTCAAGCCTTCAGTCACCAGTGAAAGCAGTGGTTTCTTCTGCAGTCAGGCGCTTGAGGTGCAGTAGACAGCCGCTTACATGGTGGCACCTGAGAGGCACCCAATATATGCCCCCCACCCAGGGGCCACAAGGCCTGAGATCCAATCGTTAGCGATTCATTCCTTTGGGAGAGGCTTTGGCCCCTCTGGACTTCTCTTTTATAAGGCAATGCTTTTGGCTTTGACAGAAGGGATCAAGGTAGTACAAGAGGGTTAGGTAGGCATCTGTAGAAGAAGGTGATGCAGAAGGAAAGATTGAGGGACACGGAAGATAATGTCAAGATCTTGCCAAGGAGCAGCCCTGCAAGCGCTCAAGAAACTACGATTCTTAAAGAATGCCTTCCACTTCCGGTTCCAGCAAATCACACTTGTACATCCTCGTACCTTAAGGAACTTCTGTGTTTTATGTTTATGATACGCTATCAGTTACTGAAGGCCTAGGGTGACTCACAGTCTTTTCATGTACCTCATCCTGCTTAGGACCAACGAAAATCTCCAATGTGATTGATTTGTACAGAATATTACTACAAATGCATTCTCTGAAACTATTTTATAACTCCAACTTTTCACTCGCTCAGACTGACCTCGCCTTTTGTCATTCCAAATTACGGAGATTTGACTGTATTTGCAGAGTGTTAACCGGTCAAGTCACAAGTGACAGGAGATCAAGACTCAGACTCTGACCTTGAAGAGTCTCGTCTACAGCTCGAGAAGGTACGAAACAAAACAAAAAGAAACAAAACAAAACTTTAAAAATTACTTACTTCACTTGTTTGGAGAATGGTGAACTTTGGCAGTTTAGTCTTTGAACTGGGTGCACTGGGCTTGCCATCCAAGAGTGACCCAAATGACAGATTCCCAAAGCTGTTCTCGAATTCAATTGAAGGTTTCAGCGTGGGAGAGATGTCCGGGGCTTGGTCCTGGCCATCCATGGGTCTGACATATGCGGTTGGTTTTTGCTGCCCCACGCTCGTTTTGCAGTAAACCCCTGGTGGGAAGTTTTGAACCACAAGGCCACTGCTGGGAGCTAATAAAGAAGAGGCAACTAGGGGAGACCCAGGCGCCTGCAGTGTGAATTCAGATTCTTCTGGTGAGCTGGACTGAAAGATTTCTTTGAACGTATCCCCTCCACCGGACTTGAGGTTACCGTCTTCCTTTGCAGATGGGTTTGACTCTTCAGCTGCTCCAACTTGAGGCTGTTCAGCTGGGTAGACAAAGAAGTCTTCCAGTCTGGCAGGGGGCTGGTCCTGTGTTGGGGGCTGCGTTTTGTTGGGCTGACTGCCAGCCTGGCTGGCCGGTACCATGCTAGTGTTCTGACTGTCTCGTGGCCAGTCAGGTTTTGACTTCCGGTTGCTGTGTATGAGAGTTGAATTCAGTATCACAACCGAAGGTGGAGGCATCGGTGCCGAGGAGTGAGTGCTATCCTGATGAGGTGGGATCATTCGGTTCTTTTGTTCTGGAAAAAAGCTTGGTTCGTTTTTGTTGATGGGAGTCTGGGGCACGGAATTCTTTGGGATTCCCACTAGATGATTCTGATTAGAATGGTTAGTTAACAAATCCTTCATTTCATCATAGTTTCCCAGCGTGTTCTGGACTCGGTTGGCAAGTGCATCACCTTTGTTTGTCTAAAATAACAAAAAGATGGGGGTGGGAGGAGAGAGAATGAATAGGTTTGTGTTTCCTAATGTTAATGTTTCATACAGATGCCCTAAGTAGACTAGCATATAGGGTTCTTTAAAATTCTCATGCTGCCATATAATTTCATACATTTCATGTGCTATGTAAGAGAAAAAAATCAATAACACTGTTGAAAGAGCCTCTTGGAATGAGCTGTGTGATTAATGTCTGTATACTCCCTGGTCTGTTCTTACTTAAACACGCTCATTGGGAGAAAGTTTTAAATTACGTTGCTTACGAATTTTATTAGCGAAATAACTTAATTTAGGTCCAATGAGTTGAACTGTACATTCTACACTGTGATTAACAACTTCCGCTTACTGATCATTGGAATTATAATAGAATGTTCGACTTATGTCTGTTCTTGACATGTCAGCCCTTTGTGCTACATTACACCATGAAAAAGCCTTAGCCCGTTGGATAAGGAAGTCAGTTAAACTGCGCCATCGTGACTACATTCAGTTTAGAAAAGGCATGGGCTTAAACAACATTGAACTGAGCTAACGTATGACTAAAGTGAATCCAATTCCTTTCAATCAAAGACTGCATAAATTACTGGTGTCTGCCTACATATTCTGGGGGCAACTCTGTTTACATATTGATGATTCATACTCGTTTACTTTGAAATGGTGCAAACTGTTCATCAACAGTGACTCAAGCTCTCCTCTGTCTTTTCAAGAGTTTAAAAAATTTATTCAAGAATTTAAACTGTTGGTTAAGTAAATCAAAACAAAGTCCGATTTTCAAAGTTGGCAACTACATCATTCTATATGGAGAATCAACACAAGGACGTTTTAGTCTATTCTCTTTACCTGCCAAAGGTGTTATCAAAACCAGCTGCTGAATTCAGGGGCAAAGGGCTGCTTTGTGTCTAGGCTGCATCATCCTGGCCCAAGATGTTGCAATGAAAGAAGGCTACCAGCACCCATGGAGCCACCTGGCAGCAGGGCCAGCGCCTGGGGAAGACGACCACCCTGTGTAGCCTCCATGTCCCAGGAGTCATAGGCCAGCTCTCCATGTACAGGAGGGGGTGACTACCTCCCCACTGGTACAACCTCCACTGAAGACAGATGTGTCACATCTAAGGTTGCTCACACGCCCTTAACACCTGGTGTGTGCCTATTCAAGCCTGGCTTCTCAGGCTAAACCTAGGATGTATGGCTGCGTGCTGCTCTCTGTATGTCACGACGGGAGAGTGTGCGGATGAATGGAGGGTGAAGTGCTGGAAATGGATGAAATCACCCAGGGAAAGGAAACGAAGAATGAGAAGATCAGGCTCAGGAGAGAGCCCTGTGGAACGTCAACCTTTAAGAGAAGAGAAGGACCCAGCAAAGGATCCAGAGAAGGAGTAACCAGAGGGAATCGAGCTGGGAACCTTGGCCTTGTTATTACCATAATCCCCACATACTGTATAGAGCATTCAACTCGGGTCACGGGGCAAATCATATTCAAAGACTAAGGAAAAGCATGCTAATGATATGCTAAGAGGGCTCCACCGGGGATGGGGAGTTTTAGAAATCAAATAAATATATGTCAGTTTTAGTTTTCTTATACTCAGGAACATCTTATATTGCATCACATGCAACCTTGGTGCTGAAGGAGTGATTAAACAATTACAGTTCCTTATAATCCTCAGCTGAATAATCACTCCATGTTCAGAGGTACATTTGAAAGGCATAATTTAATAGGTAGAGAAGGGCAGAAATCACTTTTATTCCCTGAAAGTCCCTAGGTTTGTCAGTTTTAATGGCAGACATTACTTTTCAGCTAAGGCAAGAATAAACTCTGTGTATATAGCGGTCTCCTTCAACGGAGGTGCCCAAGGAACCATTTGGGCAGCAGCCAAAACCGGCCTCTATTCAATCCCTAAATTAAAAAACAAAGAGATTTCATTGTGGTCAGGGCCCCAGTAGAATTCAACGCAAGCTGTTAATACTTGCAGGGCTGTGCTGGTCCCTCAAATAGTTTACCTCTTGGACCAGATGATTGCCTGATACCTGCCATCTTCAGGATCTGACCCAACAAAGGGAAACAACACCATTTCATTTCCTATTTTTAAATGCCTCCATTTATATTGTCTCCTTTAATGAATTAAGACATGTTTCCTTCCATTAGACAAAGAGAATGCTATAACCTTTCCCTTTTTGCCTTAGCTACCAGGAAGCTCAAAGTTATGGACCTTTCATTGACAGTTCATTGATCATTTACCGAAAATTCTTTGAACTTTCATTGAAAGACAGGTCTAGAGAATCAGAACTTTGCCCCCAGATGTCACAGAGAACACCACAATACCTCAAAGTTCTGAGAAGTCGTTCACTCTCTCTGGGCCAACATCATCAGAACCCAAGAACCTCAAGGCCCATTTGTTTGCAAGCAAGCTAGTCACATCCCTGTTCATATTTCAGCAGTAAGTAAAAAGGACATGTCCATCTTATCTTCGGTGGAGAGACCCTGCTTAGGTTTTAACGTCTCTTCATTTCGGTTTACTGTTTTACTGATCTGGGTTTCTGATGCATGCTTAGAATTTTTTTCCATCTCTAGATTTTAAAATATGCTTGAAATTAGGAGAATTTCTAAGCTGTCCAATGTCTAAAACTGTTGTCTACATGACTAAAATTAGACGAAAATTGAAAGCTCTCCAAATAAGTCTAGAAAATCCACCTCCTACTACACAGGGTCTACTACAGTTATAAGTTCTTTTCCAGCACAAAACTATGGGCTTTTCTTCAAGGTCAGAGACTACCTTTTATTCATCTTCATGTCCTCAACACTTAGTACCATGTCTGATGCATCCTAGGTACTCAGCAAATTGTTGCTGAATTGAACAGAATCAAATTATAATTCATACCCTGCCTATATCAATAAAGGATTTGCAGTGGCTTGGAGTAAAGGGTACATAACCAGAAAAGCAAAGGTTAAGCTAACTTGGTTACTGTGACTGAACGTCAAATTGAACTTTGAGCTTCTCGATAGCTAAAGGCCAAAAGAAAAAGCTCATAGCTTATAGAATTCTCCTGTCTGATGGCAGGAAGCACATCCTAATTCATTAAATGAGATAAACGTTTGCCGGATACTGAAAAGGAATTCTTCTCGTTGGTTCGGTTACAAGGTTACGAGAACCTCTGAACAGTAAAACAAGTCGTTTTTTCAGCACCAATTTTACAGAAGATGCAAAGACGTTTTTCACATGGCTTTTCCTTATGCTGACTAAAAAGCAGAACTGTGTTAAAGTCTAACTCGGTGAAGGCATGTCTGCACATGGAGTTACGGGGCCAAGTTAATAGGTCCAACCGTAGGGCCTTCCTGTACACTAATGGCATAAGGGGTGGAGCTGGGATAACCTGGGGGGATGAAGGGAGGTCAATTCCCTTCAACTAGCTTCCTCACACAGCAATTGTCTCAGAGGGACTTGTGACCAGAACTACATAGCAGATAGTTCAAGGCTGAGTTCACTGGTGACACTTTCTGAGTTGCTGATTGAAGGAAGATCCGTAACAGACGTGCTGTGGCTACAAGGAGCAATTACCATGGTCATTCTAAAACACACACTGGTAAATTCAAAACACTCATGAGGCTGGGTTAGGCACAGAGGACACACAGACACACAGCCTCAAGAAGTCCACCACTCAACAGTCTCAAAATAATTAACAGGGCTTCCCTGGTGGCGCAGTGGTTGAGAGTCCGCCTGCCGATGCTGTGGACGCGGGTTCGTGCCCCGGTCCGGGAAGATCCCACATGCCGCGGAGCGGCTGGGCCCGTGAGCCAT